ACTTTGCCAAAATTTCTTTATTTTGGAGTATTTCCATTTTTATAAAAGCTCCATTCTAGAGGTAAAACAGGTTATTTTTTCTTTTAAAAATTCATCTTTAATTACCTAAGTGATACTTAAAGTCATTTCTTCACTTAAAAATTTTCTTACCTTCCAGGGAATACTGAAGCCACCTTTAATTATCACTATGAGCCCCCTCATCACAGCCCCCAACCCCCTCCCCGCCACTGCCAGCCACTTGGAGAGGATTTTTCCAAACCTTCTATATTTACAGATTGTACATACATTTGCATATCTGTTCCTGTAGAAATTGAACAGTTCTGTGAAATCGTACTCCACACAGAGTCCTGCAATTTGCTTTCTTCCCTCAACAAAATGACCCGAAATTCTTTCTGTGTCCCTACACAGAGGACTTTCTCTTCCTTTTTGTAACTGCCAGGTGACGCTCCCAGCTTACTTATCCATCCCTGTGTGCTGGGCCTTTAGCGTGTGGCCGGTTTTTGTCATAACCAACAACGCTCATCTCCTCGGACACACACACGTGCAGGTGTCTCGCTTAGGTGTTCGATCTGAGAATGGGACAATATTGGCAAAGACTTTCAGAGCTTTATTCCCGGCTTTTTGTTTTTGAAATCAACCACCACATTGCAAAGCCATGTTATTGAGCTGTAACTCACACACCATAAAAGTCATCCATGTAAAATGCACAATTCAGTGGTTTTTAGTGTAGTCACAGATCATCCAGCCATCCCCGCAAGCTAATTTTAGAACATTTTTTCACCCCCAAAAGAAGAACCCCACACCCGTTAGCAGTCACTCCTCATTCCTCCCTTCCCTCCGCTCCTGACAGCCACTGATCTACTTTCTGTATCTATGAATTTGCCTACTCTGCACGTTTCATATCAGCAGAATCCTACAACATGTGGCCTTTTGTGTCTGCTGCTTTCACTTAGCGTGATGGTTTTGAAGTTCATCCGTGCCGTAGCATGGATCAGTACCTCATGCCTTTTTATTACCAAGTAATCAACCACCTTTGTTGAGTGCTTATTGTCTACCAGGAATGGTGTTAATCCTTGTGAAAAAACTGTAAAGTAGGCACTGTTATTGTCACCCCCATTTTACAGAGGAACAAACTGAGGCTTGGAGACATGCCATGACTCAGCCAACATCTCACAGGAAAGTACATGGCAGAGCTGGATTTGAACCCAGGCCTGTTGAGCTTCCAAGTCTGTGCCCTTGTAGCCGAGCCATGCTGCTGCTTGAAGAAGCTGGAAAGGATTGAGAAGTGTCTTGTGGGCCCAATGTGCAGGTCACAAAGTCCCTTTACTCATAGGATGGTTCTAGGTCACCATCATGATCACTGGCGATTGTTCTGGGCACCATGCCCTGGCTCCCGGTCCTGCAAAGGGCAACTGGCACCACAAATCCCATCAAACGAGGCTCCCAGGCTAACCCCTAGAGCTTGGACAAGCTCTCTCTCTCTCTCTCTCTCTCTCTCTCTCTCTCTCTCTCTCTCTACTATAAGTCACTAATTCATTCAACAGACATTTAACAACGAACACCCTCCAGGTGAGTAGATGGAGACAGACACACACAAATACTAGTCCTTATACAGGGTAGACTGTGAGTGACCGTGTTCTGTGGGTGCTGGGGCAAAGAGAGCAAGGGGGAAGACTTCTCTGGGTGGGAGGGTTCCGGGAGAAGGTGTTCTTTGGACGGGGCTTAAAGCCTGGGTGAAACTTCGATGGGTGAAGAGGGGAGGTCATTCCAGGTAGAGGGCATAGCTTGAGCAAAGGCCTAGAGGGGGATATTTGGAGGGTGCATTTGGGGACAAGTACGGTGTCTGGTGAGGCTGGAAGGCACAAAGTGGAAGACGTGATTGAAGGGTAAGCCGGGCCAGCCCTGCAGGGCCTCAAATGTCCTGCGAGGTCTGGGATGTGATTCCTTCTTTCACAGAAATGGAAACTGACATTCTAGAAAGGTGAATCAAAGTGCCTGCCCATGGCCCACAGAACTTAAGTGGCCTAGCTGGGGCTGGAACCCTATGCCGGCTGCGAGGACAGTGGGAAGGGGACGGATGGCACTCGGTGGGGATGCATTGTGGGGACAGAGCTGAGGACAAGACGACTAGGTCAGTTTCTCCATCTGTAAAATGGACACATTGGGAGGTCGTTCCCAATCAGATGCCCTGTCCTCTGCTTCCTATAGCCTGGGACACCCAGACCCTGCCCCAGACAGGCCACGCTCTCAAAGGGCCTGAAAGGTCATGCCTGCCCTGACATTTTCCCCAAGTCCCTGTCCTAACACTCCATCCCACCTCGTCCCACCTCAAGGGAGTCTGCCCCACCCTCCTGGGCTCCCTCATGCCAGACACTGCTCATCCCTCTTAGTCACCAGTTAGTAGAAAGGCCCAGGCCCCCAAATGCCACATCCCACTCCTGCCTGCTCTGCCCCACCCGCCCTCTCCTCCCACTCCAGCTGTCCAGGGCCAGCTCTGGCCCCGGGCACCTTGGCCTTGGAGAATGGCTGAGCTGAGTCAGAGAGCACATGCTGTGTGACCTCAGACAGTTTCCCCAACCTCTCTGAACCTTAATCCTTTTCCTTTCCTTCCTTCCATTCTTCATCCAGCTCTCTCGAACTCATCCCCCCATCTCTCACGCCACAAACATTTTGTGAGTGCCCACTGTATACCCCACACCACAGTCAGAAGCATTGGACCACAGCCCTCAGAAGCTCCGCTTGCTGAAAGCTGTAGGACTGCACCTGCCCCAGCCCCTGAGGCCCGCCCCCTGGGCTTGGGGGCAGACAGGACTGACCTCTGAACCACAGGAGAGCCAACAGAAGCTTTTGAGGCAGCCCAGGCTCCACTTTCTCACTTCCTGACTGTGTGGCCTCGGCTGGCTCTGGGGGCTCCCAGGCTGGGGTGATGAAGGAAAGCGAAGGCCCGGTGGGGAGCGCGTGTCCTCTGCAGGCGGGAAAGGACGGGCAAAGGCAAAAGTCGTCCTTTCATTTGGGGCAGGGCTGCGCTTGTGGAAACATACGGCCTTCCTTCTGCCCAGCCGACTGTCCTCGCGCCTCCTGTCTCTCTGTGAGCTCCCTGTCCCTCAGGGCTAGGCTCTGGGACACTTGGTATTCTGTGCCAAGGCTCGGGGACCCCAGTTAGCATGTGCACACCGCGTGTGAGCGCCCAACTTCAGTCGCTGTGGGGGAGTCTTACGCAGGCCTGCGACGGAAGGATTCTTGCCCCCATTTTGCAGAGGAGGAAACTGGGGCCTTGAGAGCCCAAATACCCGTCCACGCCCACGTGGCTGGTCAGGGGCAGCGTGGCAGCGCGAATCCCGGCCTTTTGACTGACATCCAGTCACCCTGCTCTTTCCTCGGGGTTGTCGCCGGCTGCAGGGAACAGCTCCTGCAACAACATCTGTAAAATGGGGCGGTTGCAGGGCTCAGCCATGGCGCCGTTTCACAAGTCATCAGGGCCCAGCACTGCTCGGGGGGAGGTGTTCACTAAGACTCCAGGCAGAGCACGCTGGACCCAGGGACGAACATCCGCTGAAGCAACACCGGCTTATTCCCCGTGCCATGTGTCATGCAGGAACAGAGGCTGAGGCCAGTTTTGGAGCCCATATCCATCAATAGATGTAGAGCTTGCTCCAGAAAAAGGGGTATGGGAGCCCGACAGGCCTCTGTCTCTCCAGGGAACCTTCCTGCTCCGGCCTCATGGTGGGTCAGGAAGCACAGGAAGCCAGGGCACCGGAGGTACCAGCAAGGGAGAGGGGTCCCCCAGGGTGCCAGGTTGGAGGGATCCAAGGCGTAGTCCCTGGAAGGTTTTATTCCCTTCTGGCACACGGTACGCCCTCAAGGAAGGTCAATGGGTGGATAGTGGAGGGAAGGAAGAAAAGAGGGAGGGAGGAAGGGATGATGAATGGGTGAGTGGATAGATAGGTGGGTTGGTAGGTGATGGGTGGGTGAGTAGATGAATGAATAGACGGATGGATGAGTGGGTAGATGGGTAGATGGATGGATGGGTGGGTAGATGGATGGATGGGTGGAGGGAGGAGTAGATGGATGGGTGGGTGGATGGATGGATGGATGGTGGGTAGATGGATGGGTGGATGGATGGCTGATTAGATGGATAGAGAGGTGAATGAGATAGGATTACCTGGGTTTTGCTACAGGGAAAGGTGTGGGTGTGTCTGCCTTTGTGAGTCTGTGTCTGCATGTATGTCCATCTCTGAGTATCCACATCTTTGTGTGTCTGCGGATGCCTCATCGGAATTTGTGTGCGCATCTGACGGTGGCATGCTGGTGTCGGTGAGGGCTGTCTGTGTGTGCCTGTGAGCTGGATGCATCTGGACACCCACTCACTGATGTGTCCAAAGCCATGCGTGGCTCTTGGTAGCTATGTGTCTGGCTACGTCCATGTCCTGCTGTGTCTCTGTGATTCTAATCTGATTTTGTACCCACGTCACTGTGTCTGTGTGTCCAGGTTTGTCTGCTATATCTGTTGGACTGTGTCTGTGTCCATGTGTGTATTTGTGTGTCCAAATCCCTAGTTTCTGACTGTGTGTCTGTGTCTGCTCCGTGTGTATCTGTATCTGAGTGTGTGTGTGTGTCCTCAATCCCCGATCTGAGCTGTCTGTGACTCCACGTCTGTGTATCCAGGTATGCCTGCGTGTCCTGGTTCAATCGTGTGTTTCTGTCTGAGGTCGTTCCGTGTGTGTCTGCATGTGAGTGGCTGTTTCTGTGTCCAGGTGTGTCTGTGCGTCCTGCGCAAGTTATGTGTCCCTGTCCACGCTGTCCCGGCCCTGTGCTCTGTCCGGTCCCCCAGGGGGCGCCCTTGCCTGGCGGTCGATCCCTCTCTGGGGCTCCTGTCCCGTGAGTGCGCCCGGCCGGTCGGTGGGGCTGGTGTGGGCCAAAGACTGGGATGTGGGTGGCCTCCCAGGTCCCCGCCTTCCGCGCGGCCCCGCCCCTGGCCCTCCCCGAAACGGGCTATAAGTTAACGCCGCTCTCAGCCGCTGCAGTGACCGCTGCTAGTGGTCTGCACTTGGAGGAGGGTCCTGCCGCCAGTCGAAGGAGCCACAGCCACTGCCCCTGCCTGACCATGGACGAGGGTGAGTATCAGAGTTGGTGCTGCTGCCCAGGGCCTGCCTCGCTGGTCTCCGTGTCCCACTGGGCACTGGGAGCTCAATCCCTAAGTCCTGGTTTGGAGAGCAACAGGCGGGCTGGGCTGGACTGAGCCAGGTGGGAGGTACCTGGATGCCGCTCAGAGCCTCAGTTTCCCCGTCCACAGGGTGTAATCATTAACCCCTGCCTCCCTGGATCAGATGAGGCAATGGCACGTGCAGGCGTGTTGTAAACTGTAAAGTCCTGTCCTGGTGGACGACTGCCACTTGTCCTCAGTGAGTTAGTGGGGGCTGGGTCCCCGCTACGTGCCAGGTGGCATGAAGCTGTGTGGGGGTACTGGCCTGGCCTCTGAACACTTAGCTTTGGTCAGTCCCTGCCAGCCCGGAGGAGGTGTGCATGCCTCCCCTTCTGGTGTGCAAGCCAAGCCTGGCAGATTCCTTGGCCCCGGGGGCCAGAGAGGAGGTTCCAGCATCCTTTGGGGGAGCAGTTTGAGATCAGGCATGTTCTTCCTGCCCTCAAGTTCTGCAGCCCTAGTCCTTGGCCACTTGTTGAGTCTCAGCTTCCTCTCCTGTAAAAGAAAGACAGTAGTGTCAGCCTTGGGTATATCTGGGAGGGCGGAGAGGAGAGGAGCAGGGACTCAGTTAATTTCCTGCCTGCCCCCTCCACACGCACACGTGCACACACAGCGGCGGCATCCTCCTAGGTCCCAGGGGGAGGGATTCCTACCATAGAGGATGTCCCTGCACTAACGCCGCTGGACCCAGGATCCCAGCTGGCTCTCGGGTCAAGTCTGTTTGGGAACGGCCTCTGCACCCACTGAACCCCCAGGAAGGGGTATGGGGAGAGGGACATGGAGCAGGCGGGGCAGGGATGACCAGGAGGAGCTATGGCCCTGCTTGACCTGCTGCGTGATCTTGACCACTCTCCTTCCTGGGACTCAGTTCCCAATGCACTGTGACATGTCACCTAGGTGAGGTGGCCGCTTGTCCCCAATGCAGCTTCTCACCCACATCCCCAAAAGTGGGGCTCAGTGGGGCTGGAAGACCCTGGAGACATCAGTTATGACGAGCCTCCAGTCCCATTGTCACAGCGGCCACTTCCGACAGGGGTCTCACTGGGCTGCAAGACCTCAGGCTGTTTCTCAGGGCAGAGATCCTATAAATCCTAGGATTCTAGACCGTGGTGATTCTGTACCTTTGGAACTGGGCACAATTTCTTGGAAACCCTTCCTCAGACAACAGACCAAGAAAGTGCCCTGTCTCCCCCAGACCAGGGACTGATCATTTCTCCCAGTCTCCCGGGGGGCAACAATGGGCTCTCTCCTGCTTAAGCTCTCTGGGGTTGAAGTTTCTAAAAACGACATTTCCTTGCCCCAGCAGGCCAGCAGGAAGTTTTTCCTGATGGCCAGCTGAGGTCTCTCCCATTGGGATTACAAGGGGATCGACTTCCCCGGTGCTTCAATCGTGTGGACCTATCTCCTCCGGGCACAAAAACAAAACAGGACATGGGGTGGGGGCTAGTGGGGGGCTGGAGAACAAACCGAGCTGTAATGAGCTGGGTCCCGGGCAGGCTCCAGAATTCTTCAGCCCTGATTCCAATCTCAAAGCAGCCGCTCGCTATGGGACCTGGGGCCACACAGCGCGTCTCCCTCTGCAAAATGGGAATCGCTATGGCGGAACTGTTGTGAGATTTAAGTTGAGACAATTCACGTACAAGCCCTCAGTGGTCGCCAGGCACTTTTGTGTCTCACTTTTGGAATATTCCACGGCAGGAGACAGGAGACCTGGGCTACCATCCCACTAGAGGGACCAGTTTTCTGGGTGATTTTGGGCAAATCCTCGCCCATATACTTTCCAGTGGACACACAACTGAGTCTGCCTTGCCCACTCCTCCCACCTTAAGGTCTTCCCAATCTTGACCTTGAGCGTGCCAAGGTTTATGGGGTTTATGTTCCTCTCAGACCCCCTCCCATTTATCACCCTGCCCCCGCCCTGGTCCTCAGCTCCCTCTGAAACTATAAATAGGTCCTTCACATCTCAAGCTCCTGCCCTGGGCTGGGCCTTCTGGAGGGGGGTCCCAGACATCTTCCAGACTCACAGCGGCACTTTGAGACTTCAGAGAAGGAGACACAGAGAGGGCGAGACACTTGTCCGGGATCACAAAGCAGCATAGCAGAACTAAAACCTCTGGAAGACTCCAAAGCCCCTGTCATTTAAAAAACCTTTTGTTATGGAGAAGTTGAACATACATAAAAATAGAGAGAATAGTATAATAAATTCCTATGTGCTCATCACCCAGTCTCAACCACCACCAGCACGTGGCTCTTCCTGCCCACAGCACCCCATTATTGCAAGCAGATCCTAGACATCATATCATTGCATCTGTAAATGTTTCCGTGCATGTCTTCAAAGGAGAAGAGCTCTTTTTTTTGACATGAACAAATTAACAAAATTTCTCGTATGTCACCGTTATTCACTCCATCGGTGCCTAACTGTCCAGTTGTCTCATACACGCCATAAATGGTTTTAGACAGTTTTTTGAAATCCGAACCCAAATAAGATCCACACATCACAGTGGGTTGATATGTCCCAAGTTTCTCTTTGTAGATTCTCCCTTTAACTTGTTCTTTCTTGCAGTTTATTTGTTAAAGAAACCTTGAGCTTGCCAAGGTTAATGAGGTTTGCCTTTAGTTTCCCGCAGTAAGAACTTTGTTGACTGTCCTGGTTCTGTGTGTAACTTGCTCCTCAGTCCTGCGTATTTCCTGTAAATTGAGAGTTGGATCTACGGGCAAAGCCTTGTCGTTAACTGTACACAATACGGTCCCTGTTTAAACCGAAAGAAGCCTCCGATAGCGAGAGAATAGCTCGTGTTTACTAAGCACTGATTACGTGCCAGGCGCTGTGCTGACTGCTTTATCTGCATTAATGCCCTGAACACTCCCAACAGCCCTGTAAAGTAGACCCCACTGTTCTCTGCCTGTGCACAGATGAGGAAACTGAGGCCCAGGAAAGTTGAGTTGCTGGCAGTCACACAGCTTCTCCCAGCATGCCCCAGGGGCATAGCCTTGCCATTAAAAGAGTTGGGGAGAATCAGCCTGGCCAGCCCCTTGCAAGGCAGGGCGGGCTGGGGGGTTGGCAGGGGGAAAGCATGTGTTTCATGGGCAGTGAGAGGGCGCAGGGCCCCCACGTCCAGGGAGCACAGGTGTGTCGCTAGGGGTCTCGGCTGGCTGAGGGATGCCACCCCGGCTCGGGCCTCCCCTGCTGTCTCCGTAGAGCTGATCCTGGAGAGGTGCGATCTGGAGCTGGAGGCCAATGGCCGCGACCACCACACCGCTGACCTGTGCCAGGAGAGGCTGGTGGTGCGGCGGGGCCAGCCCTTCCGGCTGACACTGCACTTCGAGGACCGCAACTACGAGGCCAGAGTGGACACTCTCACCTTCACTGCCGAGAATGGTGAGTCCTGGCAACCCCCACTCCTCCTCCTCTTCCTCCTCCTCCCCTCCACCCTGACCTGCCCCGTTCTGGGGTGCATTGCCCCCTGACAGAGGACAGGACAGATGACTTCACACCTATTTGTGCCCTGGGAGATCCCCACCTGTCACTAGCCCCATTTTACAGATGAGGGAACTGAGACCCAGAAATGGGGAGAGTCGCCCCAGGTCACCCTGCCTTGCAAGGAAGACTGGGCTCCTGGACCCTGGCGCTCCTGTTATCACCAGGGCTGGGTGCCGGCTTTCCGTCACAAAGGTTATCAAGATCCTGTCCGCTCTTTCCCACGTCAAAACAACTTTCTAATCTCTCTGCTTCCCGACATCCATGCACCTCAACCAGGCCCTGGGATCAGGCCCAAATCAGGTCTGGGTGGCAGAGAGAGTCCAGTTGGCTCCAGCCCTCTGAATGGGCAGTTCTCTGTCCCAGAAGTTCCTTCTCCAGGCCTCAGGAGCATGCCTCAGTCTCAGAGCCTAGACAGAGAGACCTGGGTTCTAGTGCAAGCTGGGCTACCTACCTGCTGTGTGACCTTGGGCAAGTTACTCAGCCTCTCTGAACCTGAGTTTCATCATCTGCAGAGCACTCACATTGGGAGGTGGTTAAGTGAGAAGAGCCTGGTATGGGGGAGTGCCCTGTAGACGTTAGCAGCTGTTGTTTGTCCTGCTCCAGGGGCTCCAGGGATGGGTGAAGGGACGTCGAGGCCCCAGCCACCCCATCCCCAGATGTCCGGTACACAGTGTTCTTTGTTGGCCATTCCTAGGAAAGTGGCCTCAAATGCCAAATCAGTTGGGTTGGCTTCTGGTGGGAGCCACTCCTTCAAGGTCAGTGAGGGGCCCCTGGCTGGACTCTGGGTATGGAAGGCCAGCTCTTCTGGGGCCTCTGAGGGCAGAGAGAGCAGCAAGCAGGAGCTGCAGCCGCCCGGCTGGGGCCCGTATCTACCTGGAAGTCCGTTGGATAAGGCTTATCACGGGGACTGCAGGCTGCCCACAGAGATCCATCCCTTTCCTCCCTGCCCCTCCCCTCCTGGCAGAGACACATCCGCTACCCAGGGGCACCCTCCCACGCACACCGGCACCCCTAAGGCCCTTTCTAACAGAGCCTAGGGGTCCCATAAGTCTCTGATCTTCTAGCCTCAGTTTCCCCCTCCATGAAGTGGAAGGTGGGGTGCATGGCAATTAAGGGCTGGCTGTTGTGGTGCCCTGAGAAGAGTCAGGCTTGGGAGCGTGAAAATCACAACACCTGTGGGGCACCTACTGAATGTGTGCTTGTCCTCAATCTTCCCAGCTTGGAAGCATAAGGGCCCCCATTTTGCAGATGAGAAAACTGAGGCCCAGTGAGGGACACAGCGGGCTTCAGATCCTGACCCCAGAGCTGAGGCTTTTTGTCACTATAACCTCACAGCAGACACATTTACCCATCCGTCTCCAGTGCTCGCCAGGCCTCATCTTGTCCCTCTGTGAAATGGAATGGTAGACGAGTGCCTGTGATTTCCACCTTCTTTTTTCTTCTTTCATTCTCGAGACATCCCCTTTCTTCTTTCTCCTTCTCCGTTTGTCTGGGCAGCTTAGTGTTAGGTAATTAGGGCCCCAAGTTCAAGGTTGGGTTAGGGGAAACTGACCTTCCCACCCCAGCAACTAATCTCTGTTCTCCAGTCTCCATTGACTTATCTCCAACCATAGCTGACCTGCCCCGGTCATTTCCGCAGCCCCCGTGGGCAGCCACGGAGGGGCCTGTATCTCTGGGTACACACGGCTTCCCTGTCCAAGCAAACGAGACCTTCCTGGGGCTGGAGAAGCCTGAGGGACAATTCCAGGAAGCCAGGCCCCTCTGGGTCAGTGCCTAGCCAGTGCCTGGCCTGGGGACCCTGCTCCTGTGTCGGAACATTCTATGTTGTGATGGGAAACTGAGGCCCAGAGTGGGAAGACAGCTGGCTAAGGTCACTCAGCGAATGGAGCATGTGGCCTGGCCACACACGTGCCCCGGTGCTGTGCATTTTCGCCCAGACAATTCGAGACCTGGCAGACCCTGTTCCGGGGTACAGACCACACTAGACAAACTCTTCCTTGTTATGGGAATGAAGCTCTGCTTCCCTCCAAGTGGGGGCCGGGGTTTGGGAGGGTGGTGGGCAGGAGTGGGAGTGAGGTCGGCCTGAAGGAGTGAAAAGCACCCTTATGAGGCTAACAGAAGCTTTTACTCTGGAAGGTTCCCCTCACCCACCCTGCCAGGGCCCCTGGGAAGGAAGGTGTGTGTGTGTGTGTGCGTGTGTGTGTGTGTGTGTGTGTGTGTGCATGGCTGCCCCAAGACAGAGTCAGGGAAATGCTCTTCCTGACCCGTCCCCGAGGGTGATATGTCAACAGCAGTGGTGGCTATGGGACTTGGCCCAGGCCTGTTACCACAGTGACCAGATAATTGATCATCCAAGCAGGGACGTTTCTGAGGATGAAAGTGGCGCCATTAATAATTACGCTGGGACCACGGGCATAAACGGAGGCTGTCCCGAGCACACTGACGAGTGGCCGCCCCAGCTCTGCCCCTGCCAGCCCCAGCTTCCCCACCTGTGAAGTTATTCAGTTGAACGAGACAATCTCTGCATGCCACTCCAGTCCGCGAAATCTGTCATTCGGCCTAAGAATTCAGATTCTTAATGGTCCTTTTTGATGACACTGAGGACAGCTCACTGCATAATTACCATGCACTAGTCACTGTTCTCAATGCTTTCTATGAACTCTTTCACTGAACCCTCTAAACAGTGCTAGGCGGCATTGGCAACAATAATAGACAGTAATAACTATTATTTATTGAGCACTTACTATATGCCAGGCACCTTGTGCTATGCTTTACTATGTTTCATCTTCTTCAAGCTTCTCCACAGCCTCATAAGGAGATACTGAGATTGTCCCCATTTTACGGATAAGGAAAGTGAGGCAAGAATCACAGAAGCTAAATAACTTGTCCAAGGTCCCAGAGTCAGTTTCAAACCTGGAATTGGACCTTCTAAGCCCGTTTTCTTCTTTGATGAGAAAACTACAGATCCAAGAGGCCTGGTGACATGACCCTGGCCACACAGTGCTCAGGAGTAGAGGCAGGGCACAAGACTCAGGGGGCTCTCGGACCCCAAGGCTGCCGGCTTCTCCCCCAGTGCCAGCTCTGGGAGGCAGGGAGCGCTCAGAGGTTTCCAGTCGGCTCCTGGCACCCGGACGGGGCCCCGGAGGCCTGTGTCATGCCTGTTAGTTCGTGGTTATATTTGGGCTGAGTGCGGGTGGGGCTGGCAGGCAAGGAGGTGGAGGCTGGGTGCTGGGAGGGAGCCCCCAATATTGCCAGCTGTGGGTGGGCAGAGCTGCAGGGAGGGAGATGGAAGAATAAAAATAAACCCTCCTGGGCAGCTGCCCAGCAGGCAGAGAATGTTCTCTGTTCCTCCTCTCCACCACCATGTCCAGAAAGTGACCAGCCCCTCCTCACCCTTCCCATGACTCAGACCTGCCTGCGTGGGCTCGGCCCTCCCCCTCTCTGTGAAAAAGCAGCCGCATTTGAGACGGTCTGTCCACATCACTGCGCCTTTGAGAACCCCAAAGGCGTGGAGCATCCTCTGTGGGAATGAGAGGCGTCGAGAGCCTCAAGACCTGGGCTCAGATGCTAACTTTGCCACAGACTCCTAGGATGTCCTGGGGAGACCCACTTGTCCCTGAGCCTCAGTTTTCTCACCTGTACAAGGGGTCTCTGAGGAAGCAGGTGCTTCATAAAGTGTAAAAGACTGTTGGGAGGTGAGGGGCGGTTATGACCAGCTTCTCAGAGCTGCCTGTGGGGTTGTGGGGGCCGACAGTTGGAGGGGACCTTGGGGAGACAGACACCTAGAGGCTGCATGGGCCAGGGCTGGCCTATAGCAAGGGGCTCTCAGAGGACCAAAGTCCCATCTTGCTCAGCGTCTGGGCTGCAGGACGCCAGCAGGTAAAGGATTTGGGCAGACCAGGAGGGCCCTTGGAGAGCATCTTGCTTCGTTCCTGTCTGGGCCACAGACGGGCCGGCTGATCCCAGAGCAAGGGAAGACCATGTCCAAAGTCATGTCAGCACAGAGCAGCGGGACTGAGACTCTGCCCCAGGCTGCACGTCCCCGTCTATGGGAGGAAGCTATCTGATTGAGGACCTACTGTGCGCCTGTGGCTTTTCATTCATTCCCACAAAACCACCCCGCGAGGTCGGGGTTCTGATCCCCACTTTACAGATGAGGAAACCGAGGCCTGGGAGGTGAAACCTCTTGCCAAACTTCTTACGATGGTTAGTGTGGATGAGGCCTAGAGCCCAGGCCACAGGGCCCCAGATGGGTGCCTTGCCCACCCCTGGTTCACAGCTGCTGCTTCCTGCCTGCACAGGTCCAGACCCCAGAGGGGAGGCCGGGACCAGGGCCCGCTTCCGGCTGAAGAATGCGGTGGAGGGGGCTGGCTGGACGGCCGCCGTGGTGGACCAGGAGGACAGTGCCCTCTCGCTGCAGCTCAGCACCCCGGCCAACGCCCCCATCGGCCTGTACCGCCTCAGCCTGGAGATCTCCAGCGGCATCCAGGGCTCCGGCTTTGTGTTGGGCCACTTCATCCTGCTCTTCAATGCCTGGTGCCCAGGTGGGCCACACTCCAGCCACGGGCAGGGTGGGGGCGGGCAGGGCTGGACCCGCCCGTGGAGACCGCTGTGGGGCGCGGGGGAGGAACGGGGCAGGAGCGTCATCGAAGTGGGCCGAGTGAGGCCACGTGTGGCAGCTCCAGCCTCACAAAGCCGTCCCAACACGGTACTCATCCCACTTAGACGAGGAGACAGACCCGCGGGAGCAAAATGACTCGCCCAAGGCCACGCATCCACCAAGGGATTTCGCTCCGCGTCAGAGGCCCACCGCACGGTGACCCGGGGCGTGGCGGTGTCCTGGTTTCAAAAGCCTCGCGTCAGGAGTGGGGTGCTTAGCTGACGCCCAGGCCCGGGTTCTGTTTCATGCGGCCCTGCTGTAAATCTCAGCCAGACTGGCGTGGGGAAGGGAAACTGAGGGAGGTAGGGGGTGGCCAGGAGAGGTGAGGAGGAGCTGTTACCTAACTGTCCCCGTAGACACTATATCAATTGCTCCTCTCCACAATCCCAAGGGGGAGATGTCAGCGCTACCGTTTTGCAGACAGGAAATCGAGGCTCAGAGAGGTCAAGCGGCTTTTGGAACCTCTTTCAGTAGTAAGTGGACCATGCTGGACCGAACTGGAAAGGCCGAGGGGAAAGCTGGGAAAAATCTGAAACTAACACGAGCAGGAGGAAGGAGGCGGGGGTTGCCAGGCCCCTCCCTGGGCCTCAGTTTCCCCATCTGACTAACAAGGCAGCCAGATCTGACAATTTGTTTCCTTCCTGGTCTGGATTAACAAAGCAGGGAGAGAAGCCCCTGCCTGGGAGTGGACTGTCCCACCTCAAAGGGGCAGAAATTCTGGCCTCCTCGCTGTTAGACTACCACTTTCTCACTGGGCCACTGCTTTAGTTTTTTTGTCTCTATTTTGAGGCATTTTATAACATATTTGAGCAGAAAGCTTTCTTTATTTTCTCCTTTACATATTTTGGCTTTTATTTCTAATGATATTTTTAAATTTTTGAGAGTGTCTCACTCTGTCACCCCATCTAGAGCACAGTGGTGTCGTCATAGCTCACAGCAACCTCAAACTCCTGGGCTCGAGCAATCCTCCTGCCTTAGCCTCCCAAGTAGCTGGGACTACAGGCATGCGCCACGATGCCCAGCTAATTTTTCTATTTTTAGTAGAGATGGGGTCTCGCACTTGCTCAGGCTGGTTTCAAACTCCTGAGTTCAAGCAATCCTCCCACCTCTGCCTCCCAGAGTGAGGATTACAAGTGTGAGCCACCGCGCCCGACCTATTTCTAATGGTAACAATGAGACAGGGAACATCCTCTTTAGAACAGCTTCAAGCACTGTGGAGAAACAGGCTTCCCCCTTGAGCCTCCCTCCTTGGGGGACACTACTGTGGCCGTCTTGGGGGGCTCGTCTCCTTTGGTTCATCTGTACGTGCCTGGAGAAATTGCTGCATTTTCTGGGTCTGTCTCTCTCTCAAACGTAAAATGATCCCACAGTGTACATCAGCCTACCACTTGGCTTCTTCCCCTGCAGTACATCTGGGGGACCTGCGCACATTGGTGTGCGCACATCTGCTCGTTCTTTCTAATCCTGGAGTGCCCTGTACCTTGCCCCTCAACGAGCACCCTTGCTCACGTGTCCCGTAGCCATGTGAAATGATTTCTCGGGATAGCAGTGGCCCTGCTGGACCTTGCCATATGTTCGTGTTGAGTTTTAGTCAATCCGCAGAGGGTTGCAACTAGGCGGCAGCTCCGCCAAAGGAGCAGAAACATGCCGGCGTCGCCCCCCAGACGACCCGACACTGCAGGATTTCAGAGTTCAGGGGACCGGGAGCACAGTTCCGGGGGCTGTCCCTCTTGCTCCGGCTCTGCCTCGCCTGCAGGGTGGGGTGGCAGTCAGCCAAGCAGTACAGTGACTAAAGTGACCCACATCCTGGGGCGAGAGCCTTAAGAAGGTGAGTAGGCAGCTGGTGGGGCAGGAAGTGAGGCTGGGGGCGCTGGCGCAGGAAATCCCTCTGATGGGTGGGACAGGGCCCATCTGCCTGGAAAACAGGACATTCGTGTCCTTGCCTTCCAAGACGCAAGGACGGAGACCTGAGCTGGGGACGTCAGGGTCCTGGCTCCCTGGGCTGGAGATGGGAACGATTCCACAAGTGCTGACACTCGCATTCTGCTGTGCAAACACTGTGGGTCGAGCTTTTCTTTCTCTTTCGTTCATTGTCCCACACGACCGACTGATGCAGAGTCATTACGGTTCATTGACTTGGAGGGTGATTTTTATGGCAGTTTCCGGAGCCAAAGAGCAGGATACGCAAGACACACGGCCACTTTCACATTTACGCTCCTGGCTGCAAGAGAAGTGGAGGTTGCTGGTCGCTGCAGGTGGGCGACACGGAGCCCAGGACCAGGTGCTGACTTCTCCGTTAGGCCTGGGAGGCACAGTGCCCAGGGCCTCAGATACTTTTGTGGGCTTACAAAAATGTTTTAATTTCTTCTAAAATCAGAAGAAAAAAATGAGCATTGAAGTTGAACAATAGTTTTTATTATGTAATGCTCAGATATCCATCATTACACCAATGCAGTCATAAAATTCAATTTTTTTTCTCTTTTTCTGGAAGATGGGATCCGTGGAGGCAGAAATGCCCAGGGATCACCAAGTCATGCCGTGGCTCTGGGTCTCCCCTTCCCAGCCTCAGTTTCTTCATCTGTGAAGTGGAGACAGTAAAGCCAGGCTGACCTCAGGCTTCTGCCATCTGGCCTCAACTTCCTCAGTGTCCTCTTCTCCCCTCAATAGCCACAGGAAACCAAGTGCCCTGCACTTTCTAGCAGTCAAAACTTTGTGCTCTCTAGTCCTCTCCTTAGAATGCCATCCCCAGGCTGCAGGTGTCTAAACCTTAGTCATTAATCAAGACACTGTTCAGATGCTGCCTCCTCCAGGGAGCCCTCCAGGACCACCCCCGCCCCAGCTCTCCTGAGCCTCAACAACTCTTTCTTAGCCTTCCCCTCTGGCACTGAACTCTCTCCACCTGAATCATGCTCCTTCCTCGCGCTGGCTTAGGGCTTTAGTTTCCAAAGTGCCTTTCAGATCTGTGATCACATTTTACTCTTGGACTAACACAGTGAGAGGTGTTGAGGTGGGCAAAGAAGGGAAAGTGACCCCCCCCCAGGGTCACACAGCAAGTGACCTTCAGGGGCAGGGATTTCCTGACTCCTGGTCCAGTGCTCTTCTGTCTCTTGCTTTGGCATCAGTTTTCCCAGGTATAAAATATTCTTGAGCCTCAGTTTTCCCATCTTTAAAATGGGGCTTTCAAGGGTCCTTTCCGCACAGGGCTCTTGGAGGCATTAAGTGAATTAATACATGTCATACATTTATCACAGGTCCTGGCACATGTCAAGTGTTGGGTAAATGGCAGCCTTTGTTGTCACTAATCAATAACACCATATCTCATTGGCATGGGATTCTTAATTCATGATTAGTTTTTCTGATTAAAAGATTAAAGGACCAAGATGCCGGCTTGGCCTGGGGAGTTGGCACCCTGTCTTGTTGGCCTCTCCAGACCCAGGGCTGAGGCCCCTTTCTTCCTGCCCACAGAGGATGCTGTGTACCTGGAGTCGGACGAGGAGCGGCAGGAGTACGTCCTCACCCAGCAGGGCTTCATCTACCAGGGCTCTCGCTGGTTCATCAACAGCATACCTTGGAACTTTGGACAGGTAGGGCGCACCCTGTCCCCCGCATCCATCTCAGCCCTTCTGTGTCCTGGGCCATGTGCCTGAGGCAGCCAAAGCTGCAAAGGTATGAATAGGTCACAGGGTCGCCCACTTCATGATGTCAGGGAAGCAAAGGCCCTGAAATGGCTGAAGGCTCAGAGAAGGCTAAGACTGGCTTGAGGTCCCACAGCAAAGACAGTGGCCCTGGATTCAAGGTAGGGAAAGAATGAGAGCCTTTAGGAGCTGTGAAGTTAGTTGGCATTCTGGGAGGGGAAAGGGGAAACAGTTAAGGCCATATATCAAAATAATAGGCAGTACTTAGGGGACACTCACCTTGTGCTTGGCTGAGAAGGGGTTTTAAACCATTATCCAGATTGGTGGTTCTCAAACTTAAGCATACACCAGAACCATTGGGAGAGCGTGTTAAAGCCCGCGGCCCTGGGCCCACTCCTAGGTTTTGATTCAGTAAGTCAGGGTGGGGGCCGAGGGCTTGCATTTATATTAATAACAAGTTCGAGGTGATGCAGAGGCTGCTTGTCCAGGGACCACACTTTGAGAACCAGTGGGCTGGTTGTAGCTGTTAGCTACTGCTGAATAACAAACAAGTCTGAAACTGAGAGGCTAAAAACAACCACTGTTTATTATTTCTCCCAAATCTATGGGTTAGCCACGGCATGGCTGCCTGGGCTGGTCTGGGCTGGGCTGGGCTCAGCCGACGGCTCATCTCCGTGTTGTGTGGCTTCTCGCTCTCCAGCCAGCCAGCCTGGGCTGGTTCTCCACGTCAGTGCTCTTATGTCCTGTACCGTCCAGCCAGCCATAAAAGTTCTTACGACTCTTCGGAGAAAACTCATGAAGCAAGAACCATCCCACCCCCAGCCCCTCAACCTCCTGGTGTGTTAGTGGGTGGTGGCCTCCTAGAGTGGGGTCCATCCTGAGGCCTCCCCCAGCAGCCTGCGGGGCAGGGTCCAATGTTCAGGCCTAGGGAGTCCTGCCCTGGGACCACAGGGAACTCCTCCCTGTGTGGCTGTGGGCTCTAATCACCATTTCTTCATTCGAATACTGGGGAGAATAATTGCAAAAATATCTCCCCAGCAACCCTGCAGCCTGCTGTGGGATGTAAGTGAAATGGTGGTGGCCGCCTCAGTGGCTCACGCCTGTAGTCCTAGCACTCTGGGAGGCCGAGGCAGGAGGATTGCTTGAGCTCAGGAGTTCGAGACCAGCTTGAGCAAGAGGGAGACCCCGTCTCTACTAAAAATAGAAAAAATTAGCCAGGTGTAATGGCTTGAGCCTGTAGTCCCAGCTCCTCAGGAGGCTGAGGCAGGAGGATCACCTGAGCCCAGGAGTTTGAGGTTGTTGTGAGCTACGCTGACGCCATAGCACTCTAGCCCAGGTGACAGAGTGAGACTCTGTCTCAAAAAAAAAAAAAAAGAAAACAAAAAGAAATGGCACAATGACTGTGATGCATAAAATACATCAGAAAATGAATTGGCTCTTATTTCTCAGGGCTTTTTATTCTCTCTTGAGAAGAAGAACAAAGCCATGTCCTTCGTTTTATTTCCCGAGGCCCTGTATTGTATCTAGGCTTGTGCTGGGCTGTGAGACATGGCCCTCATAAAATTTCTAGAAGTGATCACAGTCCAGGAAGATGAGACTCAGAGGAGGGAAGGAGTAATAGCCCATGGGATCAGGGAGGACTTCTTGAAGTAGGGAACATTTGGACTGGGTTTTGCAGAACAAGTAGAGTTTGCCATGGAAGGAGGTGGGTGCACCAGATGCTATGCAAAGGAGCTGCACAAGTGAAAGCTCAGAGGTGGGAACATTTTTGTTGCACCCGAGAAGTACGTTGTAGGTTGGGGAGTACTTTATGTGTGAAGGAGACCCCCAAGATGAGGTGGGAGGAGCCAGCAGTGTCCAGGTTGTGAACAGCCCTGAACATCAGGCTGATGCCGTCAGGAGCCACACGGGGGTCAGACCCTGTTGTGCAGCTTGGAGAGAGACCTGTGACGAGGCCTGGTCGGGGAAAGGACCACAGAGATGGGGCCCAGGGGCAGACAGCAGAGTCCCTGGAGATGTCAGATGGGTGGTCCAATGGAAGATGAAAAGAAGGGGGTTCTGCTTTCGATAAAGATAACATTTGAATTGCAAGGATGAGCAGGGCGTGAGCCACGCAGAGAGTGGCAGGAAGCGTAGTCCCAGCAGATGAAATAGAGAGTACAAAGGCCCTGAGGCAGAGTGAGTGTGGGTGACACTGGCCGGAGACCAGGTCAAAGAGGAGGCAGGGTGCAGATTGAGAGGACCTTGCAGGCCTGGGGAGAAGATTCTCCTCTGGGTGCAGTTGAAACGGAGGACTGATGGGATTGGATTTATGTCTTTATGACCTGTTCCCTTCGGAGCAGCGTATTGGCTGGGGCGGGGGAAGGAGGGCTCTGTAGGGTGAGTCAGGCCTTAGGGGAACAGGGAGATTTGGCTGACCGGAGAGCGGAAAGGGGAAGTGGCAGGGCCTGAGGTGGCTCTGAGGGGAAGGGAAGCCCCAGGGATGCTGGCCCCCCAACTCTGTGGTCCACCCCAGATTCCCAGCCCCCGCAGCTGGGCCCTGGATGCAGATGGACCTCCTGCCCCACTTTCACACACTCACAGCCCACCCAGGTGCTGTCCCACCCCACTGTCTCCTGGGCCAGGGGAAGCTGGCATCACAGAGGTACGGCAGACCCTGCCGAGCCTCCCAGTCGGCTGTGTGAGACAGCAGGGAGGGCCTGCAGCTGCCAGAGGCTTCAAGGCAGGCTTCCTGGAGGAGGTGGCTTCTCAGCTCCCTCTTTCTCCTCTTGTTTCCTCTGCCACAGTTTGAAGACGGGATCCTGGACATCTGCCTGGCGCTCTTGGATGTCAACCCGAAGTGCCTGCAGAATGCGGCCCAGGACTGCTCCAGCCGCAGCAGCCCCGTCTATGTGGGCCGGGTGGTGAGCGCCATGGTGAGTGAGTGGCAGGGCCCACCTGGGATCGGGGCCCACAGTGAGCTCCAGCAGGCTCCTCCCTCCCAATGGTGACATAGGCCACGCGACGTGCAGGGTGCGATGCGGGACTCAGAGGTAAGTCTCAGTGAAGAGGGCTCATATTTGGAAAGATGAGATTTACACAAATGAGGACCATGCCATGGGTTCCCAAAGCAATTCATTTACTCATTTCTTCAGCAAGTATTTACCAAGTGCCACCTATGTCCTAGGCACAGGGGATACGGATGAATGCCAGTCTCCTGGGGCCCCTGACTTCAGAGAGCTCACGTCCCACTGGGTGGGGGAGGGGAGATGGACACTAACCAAAGCGTCACAGGAATGAGCCGCAATCGTACACCACGGCGCACGCGCAAGGAGCCCAGGTGTGCACGAGTGTCTGACTCAGGGAGGGGCCGGGGGCCCCCTAAGGTGGTGCTCGGGAGGAGGGGCGTTCCGGGCAGAGGGATGACTTGGGCAGGTCTGAAGACGGGCAGGCCAGCGTGCGTGGCGCCGGGTGGGTGCGGGAGGAGCAGCAGGGCGGGCAGGGGCTGACCGCAGAGGCCCTCACGGGCCCCGGGCAGGAGACCAGACTTTATTCTTGAGGCAGTGGGAGTCTGGGGGGACAGTGCACTCTGGGCATGGCGAGAGCAGGTCATTGGAACACCCAGATCACCGTAAAACGCCGCGTCGCTCCCCGGCACCCGCGTGCTCACAGGACACAATGGCACCTCAGCATCACGACCTGACCTTGACCCCTCCCCACCTCCTTCCCACCCGCACCCCGGCTCCGGCCCCACCGTCTCCAGCACGCCGCAGTCTGTCACACGGGGGCACCTCTGCCTGCTGTCCCCTTCCCTGGAGCCCCCTCCTTGCCTTCCCCAGCTGCTGTGCTTGGGCTGTCCTGGCACAGCCGTCACAGAGAGCCCTCACCCTCTCCCGCTCAGTCCCCACGATGCCCCGCTGGTTGCAGGTCAACTGCAACGATGACCAGGGCATACTGCTGGGACGCTGGGACAATGACTATAAGGATGGCATCAGCCCCACGTCCTGGCTCGGCAGCGTGGACATCCTGCGGCGCTGGAAGAACTCCGGCTACAACCCCGTCAAGTATGGCCAGTGCTGGGTCTTCGCCGCCGTGGCCTGCACAGGTGAGCTGCACGCTGGGGTGTGGGCTGTGGGAATCGGGACATCCCACGTCTGGTCCTGCTTCTGCCACCAACGCTATCAGTGCACTGTGTGGCCTGGAGCCTGTGGCCACCCTCTCTGGTCGTTTTTCCAACAACTGCCTCTAGGACGGTTGTTAGGAGGGAGGGATATCTTTTGGGAGACAGCACAGGCTCAGGGCTGAGCACATGGGCTCTGCAGCCAGGCACACCTGAGTTAAAAATGCCCACTCCTCCACTCACTTGCTCTGTGACCTTGAGCAGATGACCTCTCTCGGAATCTCAGTTTCCACGTCTGTAAAATGGAGACAACAACAGACCCGACCTCCTGGGGTGGTTGTGACACACAGCTGCTCAGCACAGAACCTGGCCCAGACAATAACTGTAATATCATCAATGTCAAGAAACAGAGAGCACATTCTAAAATGGAGAGGGGGAAAGATTTAAAAAAGCAATTTAAAACCAAAAAAGGAAAATAAATCTTAAAAAAAAAAAAAATCTTAAAAATGTAAGCCCAGCAAACGTTGACAATTGCTCCCAGGTTGACAATGGTGCTGATAAGAATGGATTAGCGTCACATACAGGTTCCGAACAGACTCTGGAGTCAAGGCCTGAGTTCACTTCCTAGCTCTGCTTCTTACCAGCTGTGTGTCCTTGGGTAAATCACTTAACCTCTCTGAGCCACAGTTCTGTCATCAGTGAAATGGGCATGATAATGGTCCCTTTGTGCTGGGACGGTTGTGAGGATTGAATGAGCTCATATGTGGCAGGTGCTTGAAATGATTTCAGGTGCATAACAGCAAATACTTATATGTGATGCTGTTTATTACTATTATTATTATTATTAATTATTGGGCTCAGGAAATCTAAGAGGCTGCTCTGGGGTTCTCAGCTTTTCTGACTCCAAAACCAGCGCTAAGGCCTAGAGAAGGTTCCCTGGAGATCCCCTAGCCTGTTCTCACACTGTCAGGCTGGGGCAGGGCAGCCTGGCCCACATTCTCAGCTCGGCTATCCTTGTTTCTCCCCACCACCCGCCTCTCTGCCTGTGACCCTCTGTTCCCTTGTGACCTCTGAATTCCCCTTTTAGGGAATGGGGTCCCCTACTCTGGAACCCTTCCCTCTGAGAGGCCTGAACACGTCTTTTCAGAGAACCCCATGGATTTTCCCAGAGAAACACCACAATCCGTGGCCTGGGTCCCCAGGCTCACCTGTAGAAGCCTTTGTCACCCTGGCTGTGGCCACCTGATGGTTTAGCAGCAGCTCCTGTCCTTGACTGCCCTCTCCACAAGGCCAGGGCTGTGTCCTGGTCCCTGCAACCTCTTCCCAGGCCGTGTGTGATGGAGCCAGGAAAAAACGTGGTCAAATAAAGGACCATCTGGCCACCTTGGCCTGGGAGCGTTCAGGCAGAGCCGAATGGTGGCCTGGTCCATGGGCTCGGGAGCCGGCCTGTCGTGGTTGGAATCCCAGCTCTGCCTCCAGCCCCTGGGTGGACTTGGGCAAGAGAATAGATGTCTCCAAGCCTCAGTTTCCTCACCTGTAAAATGAAGACGGTGGTGACTGACCTAACTCCCAGGGAGCGTTTGGGACCAGGAAGATGTCACGTGGCACACGCTGGCTCAGCTCAGGCGTGGGTTTAGGGGTTTCCGGGGGAAGCTGGGATTCCAGCATCCTCAGCCTGATCCCTGGGAATTTCCTCAATGTCCGTGAGTCAGCCAGCACCGACTGGACGTGATCGGCTGTGACGGGCACCGTGACACACTTCGCTGTTCCTGAGTGCCTCTCAGTGCTTGCTCTGGGCACCGGGCGGACGAGACCTGCCCCCACCCGTGGCCTCTGAATCATCGGAGCATCCCTGCAGGCCGCTATTATTAGCTTCTCTTACTGGGGAGGAAATGGAGGCTCAGAGAGGGGAAGTGGCTTGCCCAAGGTCACACAGCTGCTAGTGAGCCGCACGGCCAGGCTCTGAACCAGGTGTGCGCGGTGCTGGGGCCGCCTCCGTTCGGCTGAGATGACGAGGCCTCCTGGGACACCAGCCCAGGGGCAGGAGTGGGGCCTGGCTCCTTGGGCAGCACAGGTTTGGGCCGTGGCCAGGCCTCCAGGGCACAGGAATCAGCAAGAGGTGCAGGGCACAGCTGCTCCTCCTTCCTCCCAGCGCCCACCCGTCTCCTGGCCGCAGTCCAGGGCCATCTGGGACGTGCTTGCCCTGGCCGATGGCGGGCACACGGCAAAGGTCACATCCCTTCCCCTCTCCCCTTCCAGAAGCTCAGCTTCAGTCGAACTAAAGTAAAACAAAAGCCCCACAGGTACGTTGACTAGGGCTTTTTGTTTCTCTTCACCTTTTATCCTACCCTGAGAATGTTACTTTTACAATATACATAGAAAGTGCATTTTAAAAATGAAGGTATAGGCCGGGCGTGGTGGCCCACACCTATAATCCTAGCTCTCTGGGAGGCCGAGGCGGGAGGATCGTTTGAGCTCAGGAGTTCGAGACCAGCCTGAGCAAGAGCAAGACCCCGTCTCTACTAAAAATAGAAGGAAATTAGCCGGACAACTAAAAATATATAGAAAAAATTAGCCAGGCATGGTGGCACATGCCTGTAGTCCCAGCTACTCGAGAGGCTGAGGCAGGAGGATCGCTTGAGCCCAGGAGTTTGAGGTTGCTGTGAGCTAAGCTGCTGCCATGGCACTCTGGCCTGGGCAACAGAGAAAGATTTGGTCTCAAAAAAAAAAAAATGAAGGTGTAAAAGCTCCCATAATTCTAGGTGCAGGAGCGCCCAGTGCGCCACCCGGGCAGGATCCGTGCCGGGCTTTCCTCCCTGCCCTGCGAGCGCTGTCAGGCTTGCAGAGCTGAGCTCAGGGTGTCAAGGCCGGTTAATACGCTGTCTCTTTTTAGCCCCTTCCCCGCAAGCAGAGCTTTGACATGAACGCAGGGCCTCCCGACAGGGCTGAGGATCTGTAGATGGACGTGACCCTCGTACAGGGGCGCATACATTTATATTCCCGTGCGGAGTGACGAGGAATCCCCAGCCATGCTATGAACCCACACAGAGATGGACCCAAAGCCCAGAGAGGTGAAGGGACTGGCCTCAGGTCACACAGTGGACGTAACTGGATCTCTGCCCTCTGTCCCCTCTCCCGCCTGCTCTGCTCTTAGCCTCTCACTCTGAATCCGCCTTGGGGAGATGCGGTCATTCATTAACTCTCTCCCTCCTTCCCGCCCTCTCTCCTTCGCCTGCCCCTTCATCTCATTTGACAAAATGCTCGATACCAGGCCTGTGCTGGGCTCTGGGGATAAACGTGAGACAGACCCCTTGCCGTCTCCAGGGGACGCACTGAAGAACCCCTCACATGCCCGGACA